AAATATTCTATGATATAAAATAACTCTGATATAATAAATGATGAATGTGCGCTATTGTCATTCGGTTTCGTACAATTGAAATTTCATATAAATTTTCTATAACGAAACCCGACGACCGACGAGAGTTTTATTGATTACAAATTCTTATCAAGGTATTCCGGCTTTGCACGTTCACATTTTCAGGTGTTTTCGTATTCATGCCAACAGTGTTTGTGCGTTTGTCTTCATTGCCTTCAATTGCAACAATAGAAATAATAAAACATTTTTGTTTTATTTTGATATTAAGGTTACTTTATGAACCACTTATTGTTTTCTTCTTTAAGATGATTATTGACATTTTTAGGGTTTCACCGTAAAAAAAATAAAATAAAATTTAGCCAAAAAAAATAAATAAATAAAACTAAGGAACAAAAGAAGAAGAGGTCAACGGTTCGATTTATGCTTAAGCGTTTTTGTCTCAAATTAACACGGTTTTTAAGAATGTTAGGCTGTCTACAATCAAAAGTTGTTAACCTGAAATTGGAGAATTGTGTTTTTTCTTTTTTTATATCCATCGCCGAAGGATGAAGATTATAACCATTTCGCCAAAACTTGATCCGCATCATGTTTTGAATCTATTTAAGCATATCCATCTTGTGTTTGTGTTATTTTTATTGTAAATATTCTCCTGGTCACAAAATTGAAGGTATCGACAGAAACATTGGAGGTTTTTGCACGCAGATTGATATTGAATATGGGCCGAATTGATCGAAGCACACGCCTATAGTACCACGTAAATTAAAAACGTGTCTGTTTTTCAAAAGAAATAAAAAATTGGTTTTTTGTTCACTACTCGTAAGTTACAGCATCTACAAATCTACAAAAATTTCAACATATATTTTATATGCTGTAACACTAGTACAAAAAATTAGACCGCGTCTACCCTTTACTATAGTGTATCAGAATTTAATTTTTTTTTCAATATCTTTACAATGTGGAGAAGAAAGCTCCAAAAACCCCATAAAGTATGTAAACTCTTGGTCAGTTGCAAATGTGGAACGCACCTGAGCCTGGTCGTCTGCCCCGCTGCGTAGTATCTGTGGTAAAGATTCTCCCGTTCGCAAAAAATGTTGAGAATGATCTAAACCGGTCAAAGGACACGCTTTCAACGCCTAGACGTCTACATAACAAAACATGTGAACACCTTTGCTTTCCGAGCTTCGTGCTTGTTGCTCATAAAGTAAAACACAAACACCATATAAATTTTCACTTTTATTCTGAATATGAAAAATTCATTATAGAGTATAAAGATTTAGTTCTTTTTCTTTTTTGGAACCATTTTTAAGATAACGGTGGAAGGTGTAAAATGTTCGATCATGACCGAATACTATTTCCTTATTAGTTTTTTTTTGTAATTTTACCGTTAAAAGGACAATTAGTAAAATTGTTTGTTGTATGAATTGTTATTTCTTTTTATTTGCGAGTAAACTAAACAACAAACTTAAGGCTTAAAGGAAATCTTTATGTAAAGTTAAAAAGCTTTCTCCACCGTTGTTGACAACAAACAATAATTGATGTCATTACGTGACCTTTCATACTAAACCATGAAATAGATGTAACTGTTATGTTTTATTTATGGTTTTTTAATGTTCATGGATTATTTTCCAAAAAAAAGGACTTTTTTTGTATTATAGTTAATTAAAAAAGAAAAGCGGCAACTAAAATAAGCAAAAACCAATGAAAAGAGTATGCAACCAAGCAACGAAAATACTTCGTAGCTATAATGATTAAAGCAAAATTTGGTTCTATAATATTTTTTTTGCTTTTTTTAAACAATTCAATGATAACACGTGGTCTGTGCCAAGTTTTCGTCGTTTGGTACAAACTAAAGTAAATGGTTGAATGTGCAAGTTCATATCTACCACTTTTGGCTTTAAAGTACATAAATATTATGCAAGGTGAAAATATTTCATATACCTGCAGACGTGTTCGAATAGACATATGCACACAAATATATATATGTATACATATATGTATTTATTTATGTATGTATATGCAATAAGCGTATGTAGGGACAATTATTATTAAAATGAAAACCAACAAAAGCATAAAAAATGTCTCTCTGTATGTGATGCTACCCTTATTAAATTTTATACAATATTTAAGCACTCATTAACTATTTAATAGCTATACTTGTATATATGAATGTAAATAGGCACACAATTATTGTGAAATTTTTGTAAATCAAACGTTCGTAAAGCTCATGTATACGACAACTAACTAACTGCTCGTATTCACATTGTTGGCTTTCAACCACAAATTTGCACTATGAAATGTATTTTTGTTGTAATCGCAATGTAAAATGTTGTTTATTGTATATATGTATGTACATAAAAATTATACATTGTTTTATTAATATTACATATACCGTAGACAAACTTTTACATATATGGTATACATTCAAACGATTCGTTGCAAATCAAATATATCATCTTTTTGACCTTTTCATTTTAAAAATTAACTTAATTTCTTAAAAATAACAATAAAATAATAAAAATTAGTATCATAAACGTAATTTATACAAACTAATAATAATATATAATATATGCAAAGCGTATGCAAGGCGTATACAAGGCGTACGCAAGGCATTTGCAAGGTATATCCAACGCGACGCATAGTATTTAACCGTTTGCCGTGAGGAATTAGAATATTTTTATTTGCTTGTTTATAAACAAATAAAAATATTATTGGCACAATTTACTGACGTCAATTGAACAAATTGAACGATGCAAAACGTTGCACAAAAGATCAAAAGTAGCGGCTAACAGATGCCAAGTCATCCTCTTTCATGACAACGCTCAACCAAACGTTGTCAAGGATACATTGTCGCAGCTCGAACAAGAAGTTCTACCGTTCGGCCGGCCCGTGATTTTCAAATGCTGAAGAAGTGCAAGAATGGGTCGATGATTGGATCGCTGCCAAACCAATATCGTTCTTTCGACACGGTATGATCAAAATTTGTGCAAGCACCTAATATATTAAGTGGCCTCTGTGGCCTTTTGCTACTTATCGGGTACTTTGCAGACGGTCTCACGGACTTAGAAATTTCAACGCTGATCTGCTAAATATGGCTTAATTACCCTGAGTCACTACTAAACAGAAGGAGATAGGCATGGAAAATAATCCGTAACAGGAAAGAGTTGCCAGCCGAAGTTGAAGATCACGTCTTAGACTGCTTTTGCTGGAGACAGACAGACATATTGGAATTCCATTGTTTTCAAGACAACAAATTTTTGCCCAGAATTTTGTATTTCCATTCTAAGTGATCTTAATCATTTCCATAATTTCAGCTGCATTTCTTTCCTTTTTCATTCAGCTAGAAACCGTGCCTTAAAGGGCATTCATCTCTTTACGCTTTGATACACATTAACAGAGAGCTTTGAAACAACTGAAATTTAAACCGTACCACCGCGAATACCTAAATTATCTATACCCCAGGTTTCGGAAAAATTGAACATGTCAGACACATTTTATGAAGCTTTCAAGCATATTTCAACGGAACGAATTCTCTTAACACATCTAATATATATATATATATTAACCACAGCACGGTTTTAGAGAGTTTTTGCTCACGATATTAATATTTTATTCTAGGTTTTGGAATTGTGCACATTAAACGGAAAATAGGCTAACCGTTTGCCTTTAAATGATGATTTGTTGATTGGAAAAATTTTCGTCAAAATATTTTTTTATTTCCTCAGAAAAGTGGTGTGAATATTATTAAAGAGAGCAGTTGCAGAGCGAATGATCTATATCTACCACCAATTTTCCTTAATTTCTGTCATTAGAGTGGAGTGGCCGGCGTTTTCGTTCTTGAAACAGGCATTATAGGGTCGCAAAGTTTTGTCTTTATATACAAATACAAATTATTTTTGCAATCCACTTTTACAAAATATCACAAAGCATTTCACTTTTCACAGTTTTAGAGAGAATGTACCTGTTTCACTATCCACCTTCTTGCTGCAAGTTCACGTACAAATTTCCGGAAGTAATTTTGAAACGTGTCGTCACTTGTAAAAACGTTTCATGGACTTTGTGGAAGGAATCTGTATAGAACCAAAACATACACCACGCATCTATTTTTCTGCCCATCTATAAGATCCTTCCTTCCTTCCTTCCGCTTTTGGAAACAGAGGTATTTTTAGTTCATGTTGCTGTAAAGGCGGTTACTTTGACCGATCTTATTTTCAATACTAATCTACATAAAAGAATTTCCACCACTTTTGCTAATTTAAAGAGAATAGTCTTCATAGTCACGATCAACAGCATGCTTATCACAGACATTGCACGAACTTATATACGGGCGGACACACATGTCTAGATAAAAATATAAATTTGAAAGCTGATCAAGAATAAATTCTATTTTATAGGGTCTCTTCTGAGTGCTGCAAACGGTTTGATCTCCTTTGTTGGTGGGTATTAAAAAAGTACTACGACACTAGAAAGTTTAATCAATCTTGTGATTTAGAAATTATTATCATCAAAGCTTTGAAACTTCTTGAAATTAAATTTTGGAAATTTTTGTATTATAGAAACAATTGTTTGTTCAACTATTTCCCGTAGTTCCAAATTGATGTAATAAAAGAGTATACTTCAAAAGTTTCAGAATTAGTTCAAAACGAATGCAACATTCTTGTCGGCTTAAATTTTTTCATCAATCGCTCTCAACTTCGTTTCTGGATTATGGATCTAACATTAACTTAACTGGTCCAATCCATCTCTAAACAAAAAAAAAAAAAAAAAAAAAAAAATATTTTTAATTATTATTTAAAAAAATACTTCAAAAAATATTTTATAAAAAACTTTCACTTACTTTTACTTACTTTCTTCAATTAAAGGTCTCCGAAAAGTTGCCAAAACGTATATCAGTGGCGTAGTGACCGTGTTGCGTTTTTGAAACGCATTAACAAGTGTAACTATGCCAACTATGAAAATATCATTGTTGTTACTACCAAAGAAGAACGTGCTCTGTTAACGAATTCACATTTAAGTGACAATAATAAAAATATTATACAGAATGCGTACCACAGTAATATCAACAGAAGCCATGACGGTTATGGACACAATGGAATTGCTCGACGCAGCTATGCCGATATCTGAAGATAAACAAGTAAAAAAAAACCTAAAGACTTTTACCACAAATGCAAATGCAACGACATCTTGTACGAAAGCGAAAACTATATTAAATTGGTTAAAAAATAATACAACAACAAACGTAACGAAAACCGTTGATAACTCTGTTACCGTTACTGCAACACGAACAACAAATAATCATAATCGATTTGACACGTTGGAAAAACAACAAAGTAGTTTAAGTGATGAGTGTACGTGCTTAACATTAAAAACGTTAAATGACACTTTTGCCAACAACAACAAAAACAACAATAACAATAGTAATAGCAATAACAAAAATAACAAACCGTTAACATCGTTTTTAAATTATAACACAGACGAAGCTTTCCGCGATTTTCGTGGTGTGCAAACACTAAGGCGCTTGTGGAATAAACGCATCACTGCCAATAAGGAATCATCGTCAACTTTATGCATCAAAGCGGGGAAAGACAGCGATCATAATTTCACCAAATCTGTTAATTGCTTAACGAACACTGCTAATACAGGAGAACAGCCACCAGTGTCATCAAGAAAAGAAAAATTAACGTGCGGTTTAAGCACCAGCACGCATAGAAACCGAGCTCAAAGTTTACACGATTGTTCGCTTTTATATTCTCGAGAGTCTATAGACTATAGTCTGTTAACTAATTTAGAATTTCAAATCCATTTAGAGAAGGATAACTTCTACAAGTACAAGACAGCTGAACAGGCCACTAAATTAAGGGAATTGTGTGAGAATACAAAACCGCGTCGCAAATCGAGCGTTGGTATCGTTACAAAGGAAGGTGTTTTCTATCCCAGTACTAAACAAGAACATCTATCAAGTTTGCAAAAGCACGGCAGTTGTGCGAAAACTTCGATTGCAATCAGCCAGTCAACCATGGCGATAAGAGATTGCAATCGTGGTAATGCGAGCATCTGTTTCGACGATAGCGTCAACCTTATCGTACTGACTGCGGCCAGAAAAAACGAACGAGACAAGGTTGACAGCAATAAAATGAAACAAACGTCGACAACAACAACGCAATTGCCAACAGCAGAGGGCCAAAATGATACGGTCAGCAATTACTCAACAACTACAAGCACATTGGAAATTATAAACTCAACAGCATGCGTTAGTCAATGTCGAGTTACCAACAAAGAATCAGCAAAAGCGTTATGTGCGGTAAGCAATTGTCGAGATTCAAATTCATTGCCTGCCGCTTCTCCCGTATCGCGCTCTAACACAAAGCGCTCGTCGTCAGTCGCAACACGTAAATATAGCTTTAGAACTCATTCCCGTTCCTTTCATCATAATACATCTCGTAAAATGCATCCTTCTAAGGATATCACACCTTCCTTAGTTTGCAATCAATTTAGTTTGGTCGCAAAGCTAACGCAACAATTTAATGAAATCATTCAAAAAGATCGTACATTGCTAACAGAAGTTAAACGTAAAAACGGTATCTTAATGACCCGCGGCGGCCACGTCTATAAAGTGCTAGAATCACCTGCACTTACCGGTAAAACATTTTCACCTAATATTAGCCGCTCGAGTTCGCGATCTCGTGACAAACATCTCGAGCGTGTAAATAGCAAATCATCTACTGTTCAGAAAACTATTAAAAAATTTGAAAACGGCCGCGTATCTAATGCAGATAATACTAAGCCTAAAGTTCCCACCAAAAGTTTACAAGTACTCAAAAAGAGCAAAGAGATTGTTTTAAGCAAACGAGCGGCAGTAACATATCGCATGCCAGTTAATAGGACTCTGTTATTATCAAAAGAAGCTGAAATTAAAATAGATGCGAGAAATACTTCACCACTTGAAATAGTGAAAGAAGAAACCAAAATTGTGCTAGAAAATCACGGGCAGCCATCCGAGCTTAAGGACCAAGTAAATGAATTAATCAGCGAAAAGAAGACGGCGAATATGGTTAATCAAAAGCAAAACGATGGATATATTTATATTGGTAATGAAGAAAACCGAAAAGAAAGAAAATATGATAACGTACTGAAAACAGATGAAGAAGATGAACAATGTGAAGAAGAATACACGTTACATAGAGAGAGAGAGGAAAAGCAAGTCCAAAAAGAGCTACATAGCGAATTAATGCGAACGTCATCGGTTGGTGATAGTAAGCTAAAAAACGAAATCGAAAAGCATCTCGCAAAAAATGGAATACCGCTATCTGCCGACATTGCTGCAAAAAAAGACGATAGTCAAACAAAGACGACTGCTCTAGAAGACGAGAGAGAACTCAAGATTGAAGAGCGAGAACAACAAAAAAAAGCGGAAATAGTAAAGTGCGAAAGAACAGCTGCAAATTATAATATAATGCATAGGGATGAAACAAAACGTTGTGAAACATTAACAGAGTCTAAAGATGAAGAGGACTCTTTGTCAGAAGAAAAGCTAAAGCAGCGCAAACATAAGTATGCGAAAATTTATGAAAAATTTCGTTTTCGTTCGCCTTTCTCCAACAAAAAAACAATATCAGCAGGGAAAAGTAAACTGGAAATAAACGATTCTCCGAAAATGCCAGAAAATATAAGCGATGAGAATGTAAATGAAACTTTCTCCGATGATGTGAAAAACTCTGATTCAAAGAGTTTTTATGCACTAGAGATGGTGGATCAAAAATTGAAAAATCTAAAATTGGATAATAAAGTTCAATATCCAGAAATGATATTGGATGAAAACAATGAATTTCAACAAGTTTCGCTGCCGAATCAATCATTCGTATTTCAAACTTCCACCAAGGAGGCGAATGATAAGTCGCTAGTGACGCAAGCAGTTAATGTGGCTTTGGTCAATAGTTTACAAAAATGTTTGGTATTAAAAGACAAACAATTAAAGGAAAATGTGCAAGAAGAATCGTTATATGAATTTATTGGTTCTCAGCCTAAGCAAGACTTAAAAAGTGAAGAAAAAAAAGAAAAGGAAGAAAATATATATTCGAAGCGGTCATCATTTCTATATAAAACTTGTAATGTTTTAGCGATGAGCGAACGCAGATCCTTAATCGCAAAGGATGACGCTGAGCGTGAACAAGAAGAGGAAGATATTTATCAATCTCTAGAGGATGTTAAAGTACAAAAAACTATTGGCCAAACTTTAGTGGAAGAAACTAGTCAAATGGTAAATTCTCAAAATATAGACGATTATGAAATTATTGAAAATTTGGGTATAAGAAAAATTGATGATAAAGAAAAATCGAAACAATTTTTTGTCTTTGATGGCTACGAAGAATGTTTTCCTCCACTAGCGGATGACAATAATAAAAGCAATGTAACTAATCTCGGAGTGCGTAATACGAATGATGAATTACCTGAAATACCAAAGCCTAAAAAACGTTATAGTAAATCTCCTCTACCTTGTAGAAGAACATCGAAAACGCCGTGTCTTCCATCTGCCGATGATCATTCTCATTATGCAGATGATGAGAATATTTATGATACTATAAAAGGATCCGATTGTTACGAGTCATTGCACTCAATTAATAACAAATTGCATTCGCAAACATACGAGCCTAAAGGAGCCGACACAATATCCCTAACGTCGAATTGTTATGAAAGTATCACCCAGTATCGTCGAAATGCCAATATCACAACTGCTACGAACAGTAGCAGTAATAGTTCTACTCTGAGTATATCCTCCGAACATAAAACGAATAGTTTATATGAGGATTTTGCAACATCAGGAACTTTGTTGGGTTATACTGGAACAAGCAGTAGACGCATTTATAGATTAGGTACGCGTTCTGACTTAGAAGTTGGTAAAATGTCAACAGGCGGCAATATTAGATATGCCGCTACGCAGAGCGTAGGTAGTGATAATAGCGATGACTGGATTGATATAACTGATAACGAAAACACTGATGGTGAGCAAAAATTGTCTCAAAACAAGCTGCAATATATTGTGTAAGTATTTGCACATATTATAATATACATTAATAATCTATAAACGTTAACTTGGCTATTAAAGTATCTGGAAATTGAAAATAGGTACAGCACACGTAAAGCAACAGCAATTGGTGGATCGGCCTTATTATCTTGTGTTTTTGTAAAAATATGAAGTCCTCTTCTTAGTCATTTCAAATTCTTTATTAACATTTCGCGTTCGGTTAGTTATCAAACACTTGCAGAAATATATTTGTAAATATTTCTCATTTAAAACGAAAAGCAAATAGCGTACAGAACCATTATTCTTCAACGCTTTCGTTTTTAGCTGCACTGTAATAATCTTGATAGGCAACAAGATAATTAATAAAATGTCAACTTAAAACATTAACGGAATACATGCAGAACTTTTAGTTCGGTTAACTTTAAAACGGTCGGCAATTTATAAAACATTATCAAAATGAAAAATTTTACAAAAATGTGGGAAAGTTATCTAGAAACTTATTTCCATGTTAACATGTGTACATACATATATACGTAGAAATAAAGTTTGTTTCCTTTGTAAATTATCCGCAATAACACATCCTTTTCTTTAGTGTACGAGAACGTTCAAAAACTCACAAGAGTCCGGATTGGTCGAAACGTGTGAGAGATAAGCGTTTGAATCATCAAAGGAAATTTGAAAAGTTTAATGAAGGTAAGTTTAAAAGATGATATCTCTACGACTCACAAAAAAAAAAAAAAATTTATAAATAGATAAATAGATAAATAAAAAGAAAAAATACATAGAAAATATCTAAAAAGAAAAATTTTAAATAAGGTCCACGTTAATTAGAGCGTATTTTCTGTTGTAATGGCTTAAGCCACTATATTCAAGAATGTTATTAAGCGGAGCGATTTTCCTGAGACATCTTTAAATTTAGGAGCTCCGGGGCAATTAATGTAACGGGTGTAACTTTGAATTTTGAAAAAAGAAAACGAATACAGTTATTCAATCTACCTGCCTTTTCCTAAAGAAATACGTGAAAAAACGTCACTTTCCGACCAGAAAAAATTCGCTCTTTTACTAATAAACGCAACCTTAACCTATTTTTCTGTAAAATATTTTTTTAAAGCTATTGTAAAAAATTTGGGCGGAAATAGTGAAAATTATTTAACTGACAGAAGAATTTGAGATAGGCCCACCAATTAATTCAGAGTCACTTCCTGAGCCGATTAAGGCTGGTCTGTCCATCTTGTTTTCTTGTCTTCAATCTGCAGATCGCGATGTTCGAGATATTTTGATTAAATTTGGTGCGCCCACGTATACACAGGTTATGGTTCGCTTCGGACGACTTTTTTCACTATAGCGTGATGGTAGGGTTTTTAATGGTGAGCGGTAGTCCAGCTTAGTCTAAGGGAAAAAGAATCTTTCTATGACCATATGACCAAATAAACTTTGTCGCCATGAGATTGGAATCTGCGAACACTGGTAGTACTTATTAGACTACTCATAACCCAATACACGCTAGTTTGTGCTTCTCGAGAAGGTTGTTTACATTTCATTCAGGGTAGATAAAAATAAATGCTAAGTTTCGGGACAAGAGCAGGGGCCATGTTCACCTAAAAATTTTGCCAGCATATTACACCGTGTGTTTTAATCAGTCTGTAGTGAAAAACATATCGACCTTAAACGTGGTACCGCTAGGAGATATATATTAGATCTGCCAAACGTTTTTAAGACAAAGGAGCGACAGCATAGAATGTACATCATCACCGTCGTAGACAGCAGCGCTGACTCTTTCTTTGTGACCTCAAAACGTTGTCTAGAAAAGCAAGTGCACTTTCAAGTCTTTCTTATCGCTAGTGCAAGTAAAAACGGTGTATCTACTCGCAATTGTCAAAAAATGTGTGTTTGTTCTTTAGCCACAAATTGTGAAGTGTAGGATTTTTAATTTCATCATCATCATTCAAAACACAGTTTCTCTACAGTTATCAAAAAAACACTTGTAAGTAAAGGGATTGCTAATCCCTGTATAACAATATGATTTGAAACATATACATATAGTCCGTGACATAAAATCGGCTATCGAACGAAAGGGTCTTCATTCTACCTAATTATTAAATGATTCGACTCCAGTGAAGATATCTTCATATACGCCTTTGGAAATATAGCGTTTCTGCGCTGTAATCTTCTTGTTGTATGAAAGTTTCAGCAGGCTATCAATAATGTAGCAAACAGTTGATTTGCCATGAAAACCAAACTTTTCTCAATGCATATATTTTTTGAAATATCTGTATGTAAAGTATATCCTGAAAAGTACCTCTGTGCTCGTTCTTCCGTGTCCGTCATTTTAGATGAATCTTTTTTATTATCACAGTCAAGAATAAAGTCTTTTCCTTTTACATATGCATCGTCGCCAGCATGCTGACCACTTATTTTTTGCTAATGTACTCCTAACGGGCGTATGTCCAAAAGAACTTTTGAATTATGGCTTGTAGGTTCTCTGTTATGCGTTTTCGCCGATCCGTAACCCAATTCACAAAAAACGTCATTACTCTTCATAGTTCGGAGTTTCATTATCGAACAGTGAGAAAAGAATCTTCATAGATACTAGTCTTGCCATAGGATACTTTATTTCGTGCACTAACCCATGCACATACATTTCCTTAAGAAGGCCGCAATTTATCGACAAAATTTTCGAAATATGCAAAAATTAAAGAAATTGCAGTAAAAAAATGTAATTTCAACTTAAATAAATGACATAATCAATATAAAAGAACATTATTAAACATTACTATTATCTTATCAAAATGCAACTCTACTCCTAATTCCGCTCCACATATTCCTCTTTCGCTTGGTTTGTGTCCAAAATCTCCCTCGTGTTGTGTTTCAAGTCTGGCACGACTTGTGTTCAACAGTGACAAATGGAAAGTTTGGTTAAGCATATAAAATAAAAGGAATGAAAAGTAAATTGGCAGCATCACAGTGTTGCTAGCATTGTTAGTGTGAAGTTTTGCTTTCTCTGAGAGAAATTTGTTGATTTACTTGGCAGCACCATGGTACTATTTGCATTGTTACTGTAACATTTTGTGTTACTCGTCTTTGAAAGAGCGGAAAGGAAATAGAGAGAGAACCACCAGTTTTTAACAATTTTACTCACATTTTACTCTCAAAAAAATTTTGTTACTATGAAAAAAATTAAAAACGGGTTCGATAAGAACACTCAGCAAAGTAAATTCTCAAAAAAAAAAAAAAATGTTTACATATATATTTCAATATTTTGAAGGCTTACAAAATTTAAAAAATATGGAAATAACATAATAAAGAATAATATTTTAAGTTATATAAATATAAATGATTTTGTGTTTGCTTAGCTCTAGTATATTTTCAATTTTAAATGCTTTAGGTTTATCATAATAATCCCATCTTACCCTTTATACTTTTTTAATGTTAGTAAAAATAATAATGTAATTTTATTATATATATGTAACAGAGAATTCTTTCGTGCTGTAAAAATATCCTTCAATCCTTATCATTATTTGAACATTCCACACATTTAGAAATGATATGGCTAGGACAAAGTAAAGGATTAAGTTCTTTGCGCATATTATCGCAAGTAACTTACTATAGATTTACACTATGATATTATGAGTGTTATGAAAAAAGATCTATGAACATATCCCTCTCACTAAGTACACTAAAACTATAAAAACCGTAACAGGAATTAAAACAGCTATGGATTCTCCATGAGCATACCGTTACATAGTATCTTTCCGATATTTCTCCATTTAATAATGCTTTATAAGGTTTTAAAAGTCCAAAAAGCTAATGGCTAGATTTAAACGCTTTCTTAAGGCTGAAATACTATCTAGTTCACTAGTCTTAAAAAACGCTTACAATCTCAAAATTAGATTAAGTAGATAAAATAATAATACTATACAAAAATGTAATGATATGAATTAAATAGGTATAAAATGTAATGAAAAATTTCCGCATTTATTCATTTTTCTTATGTTCAATCTTGCTTTTTTTCAACCATTTTGTAATAATAACAAATAAAAACATAATATCTTGAAAAATGTTGTGCTCAGAATAGAGTACAACGTTTAATTATAAACATTTATTAGATTCTTTTAAGCTCCGAAAATAAGCATGGAAACCAGACAGAATTTGATAATGGTTCAAGAATATATATGCTTTATTTAGCCCATGCGGCTTTCTTCTGAGTGTTGCAAACATTTTGACAAAATGAATATACTCCATATTTCTAGCTAATCAAGCTAACATGTCTTTCGTGTTTTTCCATTGTTGTTGCTCCGACAACCTCAGTCGATTTAGTCGATTCAATCAATTCAGTCAGGCGCTTCAGTCGCTTCAGTCGCTTTTTTCGGTTGTGTCGAATGTGTGAATGTCGGATACGTAAATGCATAGATATATATAAATTTTTTGATAAATTCAAGAACAACAACAATCAAAATGAAATTTTCAACTAAACATAACATTTGTTTTTGTCATTTGTTCTTTTACTATTTTTGGGTATAAATAAACTTTATAAGCCTGTGCGCATGATAACAAATTAAACGCGAGTGTGTAGAGAAAATTAAGCTATTTTTTTGCCCACGAAAAACAATGCAATGCAATCGAAAAAAGTTTGTGAAATTTGTTACAAAATTTGATTGAATATTAAATCGTATAGATATAGTTGTCATAACAAAAGCTCACACAAAAATGCATATACACCCAACACGTACATATGAGTAGAACATTGGTCCGTACTGTTGTAAAAAAGTTGTTATCATCGTACAGCAGTATTGTCATTGTTGTTACTATTGTTGATTGTGAATTGATTCGATACTACGAAATGACACCGATCACTTTATGCTGCAATTAGCCAACAAGTAGGGAAGGGAAATGCGATCATCCGCAAATGCAAAGAATCCATTATACGCAAACATGTATAAAACATTTATTGTTATCGGTGTTGTTCTTGCTATTGTATATACTATAACACATAGTGGGTCATATGCTGATTATTAATCTTGAATGGCAGCATATAAGATGACGAAATCTTTTTGCTCAACACTAAAAAAAGTCAATAGTAATTACTGGAATTATAAAAAAAAGTTAACAATAAGCGACTAAGACCGAGTTAAGGATATCTACAAATAATGCTAGTTTAATATATATCTGATCATATTCATATATCTGACAACATCTATAATTCAAATAAAAATATGTGAAAATGGGAAGCAATGCAAAAAAAATTCCCATTTTCTTTGAAGAACTGGGCATACATATGCAACTGGAAAAGAGTGCATTCGTCGTAAATGTTTATATAAAAAAGCGTTTGCATTCAAAGACGGACAGACATGCACAAAAGGATTTTGAAATTTTACGCCGATTTTTATTATATCTAACTTGATGCGACGTGCAAAGCCAACGTATTCAATCAAACAACCATATCATATAATATATGTTTATGCCGTCGCTATAATCGTAAAACGCGAATAACGAAATGTAAGACGACTAGTAAGATTGTTAAACCTTGAATAAAAATATTATAGTCAAAGTTGCTCGGCGAACGTCTATTACGCGCATTACTATAGGCTAACAATTGAATATGAGCAGATGGTTAAGTGTATGCTTACTTTAAATGAAAGTTTGTAACTATACTGGCTTATAGCACGAACGGAACGCGGACGGGTATTGTAAAC